AGATCCCCTTAAAAAAAAAAAAAAAAAAAAAAAAAAATCAACTTGAAAAGTTTTTCTTAAATTAAAAAAAAAATCAACTTAGGCTGGCCCGTGGCTCACTCGGGAGAGTGCGGTGCTAAAAACACCAAGACCATGGGTTCAGATCCTACATAGTGATGGCCGGATTGCTCACTAGCTGAGCATGGTGCTCACAACACCAAGCCAAGGGTTGAGATCCCCTTACCGGTCATCTTTAAAAAAAAAAAAAATCAACTTGAAAAGATGGCATAATGTTAAGATTTGATAATGCTGCCAGAGGTTATACAGGTTTACCCTGTAAACATATAATTGTATGCTTGAATCATTTCACAATAAAACATATAATTGTATGTTTTAATCACTTCACAATAAAAAAATGAGCTCGAAAAAATACATCTCCCCAAAAGGCACAAACACACACACACAAAGCCTAGCTTCAGTGCAACTATGAGAAAAAGCATTATGGATTTCAAATAATCACTCTCAAGTGAATTTTTGGAAATTCATCCAGCTATGTATAGGAAGGGCCATTACTCCTGTAAGTGGGTAAAACAGTGAAAGGAAAGGATGAGTTTCCAAAGAACAAACTTAGATATTTAAGTAATGAAAAATATATGAGTTCTACTTTCATAGTATTTAGAATAAAGATGCTCACCAAAATAATTAATATATCATGAAAGACTTACAAAGCCATCCCTTCTTGGCCTTTTGGCTAAAATTATGCATAGAAGACTGAAATTCACTTCTTTTTATAACAATATTGGTGTGGGGGGCAGGGGTAGAAACAGCATCTCTGGTCATCAAAGAGAAGTAATACATTCCATTACAAAAAAAGAGATGTCTGTTCCTTTGTTTCTGATAGAAGAATATCTCTTACTCATACTCAGCAACAATAACAATATGTCAAATACTGGTGATGACTTGGGGACAAATTACAAACTATAATAAAACCTAGCAGGTAATAGAAGTACTAGTTATAGATGGTGATAATTCCCAAAGCAGCTTTATACATTTATTGGATTTTTTTTTTTTTTTGGCAGCTGACCAGCTGGTACAGGGATCGAACCCTGGACCTTGGTGTTATCAGCACCACACTCTAACCAACTGAGCTAACTGGCTGGCTTTAAATACATTTATTAGGAAATACATTCATATTTGTGGATTGCATCAGATATTAGCAAAGTACTATTCTTTTGGCTTCAGTCTGAGGGTATGCATGCCATATTCACCTTTGAGCTACTTTGCAGGCATGCACCTACTTTAGACAACAGTTCTAGAATTACAAACAAATATTAAATAAAGTTTTTATGAAGCTCTTTTGGGATACTCTTGCCCTTTTTTTCCTCTCTGTGGAGTATGCATAAAGCAAATGTACTTCACAGGGCCTGGTTTTCTAAAACCTTGCTGTTTCAAATATTGACCTTGCAAAAGACAGGAAATTTTCCCCAGGCTATAGTCTCTGTTGTAAGATAAGGAATTGTAACACAGCAAGGTTGCTGGCTCAAAGACAGACAGTTTACTGAGTGATATGTAAAGATACTGGGAAATTGCTATAAGAAGAAAATGTTTGCTAAAATCAAGCTTTTGTTAGTGGATCGACTTAATTGCATTATAGAATGTCACCTTGCTTGTCTTACTGAATGTTACCAGCTTCTATTGTTAAACTTGTTAAACTATACTTAGCAAAAACCCCACCTATGTTCTCTTTCTGTAACTTTCAATCATTGTATTGGGTCAACCTTAATCCAGTATGATCTCATTTTCAATCTTTAATTAAATTTACAAGGACCCTATTTCTAAATAGGCCACATTCTGAGGTTCTGGGTGGACATGAATTTTTGAGCAACACTATTTAACCCACTACAAAGTGACAAAAGTAATGGTGAAGAAAGAGGTATTTTGGAGGGGCTGAGACTTTTAAATAGAAGGCAGTTTGGTCCCTGTTGTATCCATGTGTACCAATGTCATAGCAACTACTTGTGGGAAAAGGGGAGGAAATATTTTTAAATTACTGACAAGCCTTACTATTAAGCCTTCAGCCAGCAGCAATGTATGAGAGTGTCTGCTTTGTTACAGCTTCACCAGTAGTATGTTGTTAAACTTTTGTTTTTTGTCAATTTGGGAGAAAAACAGTATCTTACTGTAGTTTTAATTGCATTTTTTTTTATGTTTGAAGTTTAGCATTGTTTTATCTGTTAAATGACCATATGCAATCTTTTTTTGGCCGCTGGCCAGTACAAAGATCCAAACATGTGACCTTGGTGCTATCAACACCCGCTCTAACCAACAGCTAACCAGCCAGCCCTCCATGTGCATTTTTCCCTTTAAAATAGAGTTGTTGGTTTTCTTATATTCCAGAAACCTTTCGTAGATTGGGGATATTAACCCTTTGTGATGAGTGAAAAATATTTTTTCCAGCTTTTCATTTGTCTTTCCTCTGTTTATGGTGTTTATGTTCATGTACATTTTTTTAAAGAAGTCAGACTACCAGCCTTTCTCCTGATTGTGTCTATATTTTGAGTCATAATTAGAAAAGGTTTCTCATTCCCAAATTGTAAAGGACTTCATGGTTTTTTTCTTTTTTTTTTTTCTGGTGGCTGGCCAGTACTGGGATCCACCATGACCTTGGTGTTCATAAGGCTAACTAACTGAGCTAACCAGTCAGCCCTCCTCCAGAGCTTCAAATTTGAATGGGTCATCATAGGCCCATGGCTCTACAGATGCCAATGGAAATGGCTATGTACTGACTAGCAGTCAAGGGGAGTAGAATTTGTGATGTGAAAAACAACAAAAACATTTTTTTTAAAAAAAGCAAACCATATTCTCTATAACAAAAAGAGTGGAGAACACACTGACAAACAACTAAGAGTTGTCTTCATTTGTCAGTTCAGTTGTTATGAATTGACATGAGTTTATCATTCTACACACTAAGAAACAGTTACTCAGGAATCATTTAAAGTAGGTGGGGGAGATTTTTGTCAGTCTTTCAATAGGAAATCAAGGCTACCTTATTTTTAGAAATCATTTTAACAATTACAGTATATTCAATCTTTGGAAGTCTGATCATCTAAAAGAGTCAAAGGACAGAAGTAATTCTTCTATATCTCTGCTTGAAAGCCCTTTGAATACATAAAAACAGGTCAGAGCAAAGGTTAAATGAACTAAAAGTACACAAACACATTATGCCATACATCATTCTACTAATAAAAATAAATTTTAAAGTCTATGCTAAACAAGAAAATAAAAGATAAACATCATGATTGGAACCCTGGCCATACAACATAGGTTATTTATATAATCAACCTAAAATATTGACAGTCAAAAAGGAAAAAAATGAACAATCTTCCACCTAAACTGTCTTCCAAATTTTTTTATTTCCCAGTGAAAACAGAAGTGTATGGGTCAGTTTACTTTAACTACATGAATTTTTAAAAGCATGTGAGTGTGCACCCTCATATATATATACACACAAAAATACCCTATATATTTTAGATACTGTCAATAAATAAATGCCTGAAAATGCTTTCCTTTTTCATCATTTCCGTATTCATTTGTATGACCAGGCCTTACCTATCTTCCTCCTCCTCTATGCTTTAACTGGTTAACATGATACTTTAAGACTGTGACTAGGGAAAAAAGTTGGACCCTGGTGTAACAATTGTGAGTGGCAGGGGGAATCACAGCAAAGAGGGCTAAATGAAAATAAGTTGTGAAACCATAAGGGTAGGCACAGAGATTCTGCATGAGAGCACTGGTAAAAAAACACATCCTGAAAGTAGAAAATCTCAGGTCAAGAAAAGCATCAGAAATGAAAAAAATTCATCTGGTTTGTAGTAAACTTTTGAAATACACACTTGATTTAAAAATTAAAGGGGAGGGCTGCTCAGATGTCTCACTTGGTTAGAGCATGTCTTGGTAACGCCAAGATCAAGGGTTCAGATCCCCTTACTGGCCAGCCACCAAGAAAAAAAAAAAAAAATTTAAAGGCATGTGGGGATGAAGAAAAGCTACATACACACGTACAAAATTGCTATGCCAACTTTATTTTCCATCTCACTCCCATTTTATAATCCCTTAATGGTTTAAACACCTTAGAACTGTCCAAATTTACTTTTGGAAAAGGGAGGCACTATCTCTGGCAGGAGGGTGCCCTGGAATTTGAGGGATTTTCATCAAATTGCTCTATAATGTTGAAAGCAGGTCAAAGGCACAGTTTCTTATCAAATTACTCAAGAGTTCTAAAGTTCAGTACTGTTTAAAACTGCTTAGATTTTATCCCTCTAGAAAAAATATTTTTAAGAAGGTATTCTGTTTTTCAAGACCATTGTAATCTGTCACTTTAGTCGTTCGTTCACAAATTTCATTCTTTCCTCAGCCCTGGCGAAGGGTGCGAATAACGGGTGACGCCTTGTTGCACGCTTTCAGTTTGAAGCTCGGAAAGGCCAATGGAGCTTTAGAGACTCCAAATTCCCAGGCTATTTCCACCTCGACTTTGTCACCTCCTGTGAAATCTCTAATCTACAGAAAGCGGCTGATAAAAAAAGACATCACAAGCCACAAGGCCTTGAGATTACAGGCTCTCCCGGCAAAACAAAACCCAAGTCCTCAGATCAAAGCCCAGCGGGGCTCTGCATCCTCGATATCCATCTCCTGGAAAGCTCACATTTGGACAGCTCAGGCTCCTGGGCTCGGCTCGCTGGCCGTGACAGATGAGCTGCCAGTGTCACGTGCTCCAGGAAGAACCCCTTCCCGCCCGCGCAGCCCTGTAGATGGCTGGGGTCCCCTAGTAGTTTGCGCCGCCCGGTCTCCGCCTCCCAAGCTCCCTCGGTGCGTACAGATCCCGGGGTCATCACGTCTCCCGGATGCCGACTTCTGCAGCATGCACGCCTCGGGGGATTCGGGCAGGGCGCCCGGGAACATCGTGGCGGGGAAACGCTGGCGGCCAACCCTTGCCTCCCTTCTTTCGTCCCCGCTCCGACCCCGGCCCACCCCTCCTACCCCATCCCGCGCAGCGCACGCCTCCAGCCCTGCTCAGATTGCAGGCCGAGCTCCGTCAGGGCAGGAAACGCCCGCCGCCTGCGGTGCAGCCAGGGCGGGCCCCTCCCCGACAAGCTGCTCTTGACCACGACAGGGAAGAAAGCGGCGCACGGAGAACAGAGCCTGACCGTGGGGCTCGGACACGGGCTAAAGGGGCTGGGAAAGTAACACCTACATTTCCCCTTCGCCTTCCCGGAGGACCCTCCTCCGTTTACTCTCCAATCTGGGGAACACCAATAAATAACATAAATGAATTGCATTCTCTAGGCTCTTACCTCGTGTCGGCTATGTTCCTGGAAATGTTTTAATTAGCTAATGGAGGGCGGGGGGAGGACTTTCTTGGTCGGTAAATAAGAATGCCTTCTCCGATGTCTCCGATCTCTAGAGGAAGCAGTTAAAACAGCCACTGCCCCGTCTGCTGGAAATCCAGGAAAATTTTCCTCCAGCAGCTGACTAGATGGAGAGGGCAAGTCTGTTCCCTCTGACTGACCGCAGCTCCGGCCAATCGGCGCTCGGCGAGGCGGTGCGCCGGCTGCCCGGCCCTCGATCGCAGCCAATCACAGATCCCGACAGGAACGAGCCTCCTGCAGCTGCAGTCTGATTTTGCAGACTTAGAGCTGTGTACGACAGAACGACGGCGACTTGGGCCAGTAGCGGCTTGTGGTGGCGCCCCGCCCTCCCGAGGTAGATGCACCGGCCAAGGAGAGGGCGCGCCTGGGCGATGGGTGGGGCCGGGAGGCTTGGTACCTCTCCAGTGGGTGGATGAGGGGGCGTGTCTCTTCGGGCAAGGGGGCGGTGGTGGTGACAGCTGGGAAATCGAGAACGGAATACCAGCCCTTGGCTTAGACACAGAGCTTAAAATGCGTCTGGTTTTATTGCCTCAGGCATCTTACGATCCCTAGAGAATGTCCATTCATTCATTCATTCAACATGTATTTCTGGGGCCGGCCTGTGGCTCACTCGGGACAGTGTGGTGCTGGTAACACCAAGGCCACAGGTTCGGATCCCATATAGGGATGGCCGGTTGCTCACTGGGTGAGTGTGGTGCTGACAACACCAAGTCAAGGGTTAAGATCCCTTTACCGGTCATCTTTAAAAAAAAACAAAAAACAAAAAAAACCATGTATTTCTGTGTTTATGAAGCACCTCTGTGTGCCAGGCACTTGCTAGGCACTGGGGATACAATCCTGACCCTGTTAGACGTGAGAGCTGTCCTCATAGAATTTACAGGAAGAAGAGGGAGAAAACTAACAAGTAAACAAACACGTAAAATAATAACAAACCATGTCAAGGAAGGAAATAGACAAGATGTGGATATAGAGAATAATGTGGGGGCTTGACTTTAGATAGGGTTGTTATCTGAAAACTTTATAGGATGGCATTTAAGCAGAGTCTTAAGAGTGAGAAGGAAATCAGATATTCAACCAAACCATGGAACCAGTAAAGTGATGATTGTTCTGAGCAGAGGGGACAGCAGAGCAAAGGTCCTTAGGTGGGACAATTTGGCATTTTTGGAAGAACAGAAAGAAGGCCAGTGTAGCTGTACAGTGAGGGAGGGGAGAGCAGCAAGATGTGAGGAAGATGAGGTGGCAGGGACCTTGAAGTCTGCATTACATTTTAAATATAATGGGCCTAGCAGGCCTCGACCTCGCACCACCCTCCCTCCATCCTCCTCCTACCCTATATTCCTCCCCTTTTCCCTCTCCCCCTCCCCGTCAACTGCTCTGCAACGACATCCTAGAATGTAAAAAAATAATAGTAATAAATTAATTAATTAAAAGGGGGGGAATATTTCACCAAAAATAAATAAATAAATAAATAAATTTAATGGCCTCTATTGAGGCATTTGAAGCAAAGGAGTGAAAGGATCTGCGTTAGACTTCAAATCATTCAGTTAATGTGCAAAGAACAGGTAGACTGGGCTATTGGGAGACTGGTTAGGAGATTACGGCGGTTGAAATTTAAAGTGGGAGATGACATGATTAAACTACGGCAATATCACTGGAGGCAGAGAAAAGCAGAGAGATTAGAGATTTTAAAGGTAAATGATTAACTTGTTTTGACCTTGTAGGTTTTCTGGTCCAGGGATTTTGTTCTGAATCCAGTAAATTTAATAATCTGTTTAAAGAGTGATTCTCACATTGCTGGTTCACAAATTCTAGTAATAATTCTCAAATCCTTGAGGATTATTATGTTGACATTCAATTTTCATGGACTTGCTGGAATTTTCCTTTTTTAACTTTTTATTGAGATATAATATTTATACAGAAAAGTGCACATATCCTAAGTGTATACAGCTCAGTGAATTTTTACAGTCTCAACACACCTTTGTATTCAACACCCAGATCAAGAAGTAGAGTATTATTGGGGCCGGCCCATGGCTCACTCGGGACAGTGTGGTGCTGGTAACACCAAGGCCACAGGTTCGGATCCCATATAGGGATGGCGGGTTGGCTCACTTGGGAGAGCATGGTGCTGACACCACCAAGTCAAGGGTTAAGATCCCCTTACCAGTCATCTTTTAAAAAAAAAGTAGAGTATTATTAACACCTGGAAACCCCACCATACTGCCTTTTAGTCCCTGTTTCCTTCCAAGGGTAGACTCTATGCTGACTTTCAACACAGAGATTACTTTTGTCTATCTTTATACTTGATATATATAAAATCATAAAGTATGCATTCTTTTGTGTTTGGCTTCTTTGGTTCAATAGTCTACTTCTGAGATTCTTCCATATTATTGCATATAGCTGTAGATCATTCATTTTATTTCATTCTGTGAATATACCATAGTTTATGAATTCATCTGATGGTTGTCAAGGTAGTTTCTACTTTGGATCTATCACTGATAGTGCTACTATGAACATTCTAATACATGATTTTTGGTGATGGCCTTTTCTTTTGATGGAGCATTTTGGAAACTGAGTTAGTGTTATGTTTTAATCTGTTCATCAGTAATGTAGTATCATGAATTGCAACGTCTCAAACATTTGGACCAAAGTTTGATGTAGATAATGAAGGACTTTGCTCTTATAAAGGTGAAAATTTGTGGCAACAACTAGAAACTGTTGATGTAGTAAAATTTAAGCTTGGACGTATAAAACATTTTGAATTATCCTTGGAGCTTTGACCTTCTTTCTGAGCACTTGCAAACTGCATGCCCAGCATTTGAGAACATCATGACTTTGCTACATCCTTTTACTATAATAGACTGTAATCCACAGTCATATGATAAGCAAAGACAGTTAAGCTGTTCTGAAGAATATCTTTGATACTAATACAGTCCTTGGAATTACATTTGAAAACCATGCCATTCCATACACTACCATAGCTGATTAAGAATAAAGCCAGAAGTTTATCTCTTTTGAATTATATACTTCTGGCTTTTAAATCTCTGAAACATAGTTAAACATACTACAAAAAGAATTCATTATGGGGGCGCGGGGAACACTGACCTGGCATGACAGTGATGACTTGGCATCACTGCATAATGTTCAAAAGAATCAAGTGGATATGGCACTCCATACCTTCATAAAGTTGAGCTTTTTCTTTTTTTCAGTTTATATTTTAAAGAATTAAACCATTTGCTGAAAACTAGTGGCTATCAGGAAATTATACCCAAAATAGGTCATAGGGTTTTGGCTAGGTGGGTGGCATGGGGCTTAAACAATAAAAAGTAAGGACCTATGAGTCTTGAATCAATTATTTGAGATTTAGACTAATGCACCATTTTTCCTGATTAGTTTACTAGTCTTCCTGGGAACCAAATGCTGTGCAATAGTGAATTGGTATTTTTATTAATATTTGCTAATGAATAATCAATCTATTTCTTGTTAAAAATTAGAGATGGATGTTTTTGTATCCCCAGAATCAGCAATTTTCCAGATAACTATCTATATGCTACTTTTGGCCTCATGCCTAAAACATGGGCCTGGAATACTAGGAGGTATTTTTCCATGGTTCGCACTACTCTGTCCTGAATTACTAGCACAGGTGTTCCTTTTCTGTGTCATCAGAATAATGGCCAAAACAGTGACACAAATAATTTTTAAGCCATGTCCTCAGACCCAATTAAACTTGAAGCAGTTAGTTTATTTTAAAATATTATTGTTGCTTTTTCCCCCTCTGTGTTATTTACCTCCGCAAATATGGAATGAATAAGCTTCATCCAGTACCGGTGGTACAGAGATTTGACTTATCTTTCCATTTTCATCTTTATTTGGCTATTACTTTATTTGACCTTATTCAAGTATTTAATTTCACTAAGCATCAGTTTCTCAGAGCTGTTATGGGGACAATTGTATTTTGTAAACGTATTTTGTAAGAAGGTTATAAATAAAATTGTGTTTTGTTATTTAAATCACAAAAGCTCAAAATAAAAAAAAAGATAAATAAATAAATCACAAAAACTCAAAATCAAAGAAATGCAATATGATAGTCATTATTAGCACTGTTTGCCAAATATTTCCTACTCTCCCCCTACCCAGGCAGTTCCTGGGTGGTGCCTAGGGAGGGCGGGGAGCTTGTGACTAATTCTGGTCAGTGAAATGTGAGGGTAAATGACAAGATTAATTCTGAGTTGGAGCATTTAATGTCCCTATGCAAGACCCTCCATTGCTCACTTTCCTCTGCTATTGCAACCAGCAATGTTCCAGATAATGGGTGCTCCTTTGGTCTGAGTGACTATGAAGAAGAGAATTCCACTGCCAGCCCACGATGGCCCTGTAGCATGAGTGAGAAACAAACATTTGTCATTTTAAGACACTGACATTTTGATGTTGTTTGTTGCTGCATCTTTTTCTTTGGGGTTGGGGGAGTGGCAGCTGCCAGTACGGGGATCACACCCGTGACCTTGATGTTACAACATTGTGCTCAAACCAACTAAGCTAACCAGCTAGCCCTTGTAGCTGCATCTTAACCTAACTTCACCTAGTCTATCTCAACTGATACAGTTATTAGCTCCAACTTAAAATCATTTGGTTGTATATTTCTTGGGGCAATTTTCATTCATTTATTCAATAAATATTCATTAGGTTGCTACTATATATCAAGTACTATGTTAGGCATTGGTTTTATAGCAATGATGAAAATTGAGAGGGGGTAGAGAGACACAGTAGGTAAGATAAATGCTACAATCAGAAAAGTATAAGGGCCGGCCCGCGGCTCACGTGGGAGAGTGTGGTGCTGATAACACCAAGGCCATGGGTTTGGATCCCTATATAGGGATGACCGGTTAGCTCACTTGGGAGAGCATGGTGCTGACACCACCAAGTCAAGGGTTCAGATCCCCTTACTGGTTATAAAGTGAGCCCATTTACACCACTTTTAAAAAAGAAAGAAAGAAAGAGAAAGAAAGAAAGAAAG